CTTCGGAAAAGATTTCCTATTTTAAATTAATTTTAATAAATTACGCATAAAACCATTCTGATATGTCCAATTAATTTCTTACGTCAGAGAAAAAGAATATATTGCATGTAAAAATTCTAAGCCATTCTCTGAAATCTTACTTACAGTATTCAGTTCACGCCATTACTTTGAAAAGCACTAAAATAAGACTTAGGTATAAAAGATATATAGAATAGATAATATACACATATAAAACTATGCGTATTGATTGAAATCGGGCGAATACGCAACACTTAAACTGGTGTGGATTTTGAATAAAACTATCAATTTCGAGGGTGGGTATTCTGGCATAGGTCCATCTTCAGGAGGAAAACAAATTCTCAATTTATTTTTTCTCGATAAAGATCCACGTTTTATTCTAAATGCAGGCATCAATTTAAGGTGGCATTTTTAAAAATGCGTTTTTATTTTATATATGTTTTGTTTTACAGTGTAAGCTTTTTCGTAGTCTCTCGAATAATTCTAGAGTTCAACATGAATGTGGGCAAGTTTCCTCTAGAAAGTCCACCAAGGAAGCCATCCTCCTAGTTTGGCAGATTGCTCTCGTGTGCTTTGCCATATTGAATCAAAACTACAAGCTAAATTACAACAGGCAAAGTACTAAAGCTTAATTTACCCACCAATAGATTACTCAGTTGATACGTCCTGTGCTCAAAGCCAAATTTTACTGAGGATTTATTTTCCAGTATAATCCACAGACTTTTCTTTTTCATCACACCCTGAAAATATAAATTGCCTAAAAAATCCTAATTTTCCTATTCGGAGAGAAAACGTCTGCTATTTATTTCTGTCTCGAAATTCGATTCCTCCCTCCCTCTGTAGGGCGGCTGCATGGGTGTTTTCGTGGTTTTCCCCATGTGTAACGTGTATACGAGCCAGTATCCCTTAGAAAGTCCTCCACGAAGGCATCCCTCCCCTTAGGCAGATAGCCCTCGAGGCTTTGCAGTAATTAAATAACCTAACCTAAGCTAACCCTCAGTAGGGCGTTATACTCTCGAGTTAACTCTTAACTTTATCAAATATTTAATGGTCTCCACACTAGGAAGTTATGAGCAAAAGCTAAGATTTATTTAAAATTTCAAGAAGCTACTTAGCAATGATTACTTATGTTAGCTACATTCCTTTTGTGTATCAACATAGATTTTGAAAATTTCTTAATTAAGAATAAATATATAAAACCAAGAAAACGAGTTGTAAAAAGATGTACTTTAATTGGGATCATTCGTGATTTTCTTAATTAACGCACGGTATATAGCTAATATTTCAATGAAAATACCAAATCTTGCTGACTACCGACCTTACTCATATTGTTCTTGTAATCACGATACACGGAAGTATTTTTGTAACATTTTAGAGTTTCTGAAGAATGTGTATTAACTGTTTATTTCATACATTATTTTGGTATATATTGATGGCAACACTGATTCGAATTAAAAGATCCATTTTCATAAGCGAGGTATTGTTTAATTTTGTCACATTAGTGTTCAAATAAATCCAGGCTTGGCAAAGATAAGACCGCTGCTTAGGGTTTAGAGGGCCCCCGTTTAATGTTTCTGTCTCCACTTAAAGATAAGCCAAAAGCGAGTACTTTCCTGATAACGCGCATAATGTCGTCTCGCAAGGCTACTTCCTCAGTCATAGCAAACAGTTCTTACAGTGTTGCTTTCCTTCTCTAAATGCTGACGGAAATTTGAAAAGAGATTATATTGATGTTTATAAGTAAGTTTTGGAATCTTGAGATTTGTCATTATTTATAACTCTCAGCAGTTACTGGTTTGTTGTTAGTAACGTAAATTTGTTACTATATATTTTTTTTTCATTTTAATTCTTGACTATCTTCTTACTAATTAATCAAAATTTATAACTAACCAAAAAATTTTGAAATGACAGCAAGAAACTTGAGGTATCACGTAATTATAGTTTTAAAATTTGTCCTGATTTTTTTACTTTTCCGAGAGACTGCTAAGTTCCAATATTAGCAGCAGAAAATATCAGCACATTGATCGTTTAACTAATCTGAATTAAAATTTCTGATTAATAATAAGGAGGAAAATATAGAATTCGGTTATTTATAACAGCTGGTTTTATATAGCTTTTCCCAAAATTGTTTGTTCGAAACACGTCTGTATGACTGATGAGGGTTTGATGATTTCCTTTATTAACCAAGAAGCTATGTCATTACACGCACGGATGGCGTTACTCTTATTATTATTAGTCTATGATTTGGCATTATGAAATTTGGAATCTGAAGAGTGCGATAATGGTAACATACTTCTCTTGTTCGCCAATATACTTTGTGCTCTTAAAAGTGGATAAGTGAACTTTATTCTTAATTTGTTGGGCTCAATGTGTATTTAAAATGATAGCAAAAATCATATCAGTATAAGATATCATAAGAATTAAAAGAAATTATTCAGCACATCTTCGTAACATTTTCAGTATATATTTAACAGCATGCTTTAAAAAAGTAATGTGTTAATTTTCCTTTCCGTGTAGTGCATAAATGGCGAAGCAAGAAATAAAATAAAGTAAAATAATCCTAAAAACTCGTTTGATGCTTCTTATGTCACGTAGAGATTTTCCATTTTTGATCAGTTTTATAATGAGATTTCATACATCAACTGGCGTTTCACTTGTTAAGCTACTCATTATCAGAGAGAGATAAAAGATTCGCACAAGAAACTCGTAAAATAAACAGAAGTAAGCAGTAAATCACGTAACTAGACGTTCTATGGTAACAAAAAAATTTGCATAAGAAAAAAAATTTTTTTTTTTTACATGTGTGAATATACTTTTTTTCCGTTACAGTTTTAAGCAAGTTTGATATTTTAACAAGTACTGTTATATTAATATATCACATTTACAGAAGAAAATAACTCTAGTTTTAGGCCTTTGATTTTTCCTGTAATTTTGATATACATGCTAATTACATAAACTGGCTTGAAAATTTTTATCAACGGTGTACGTTAATATTTTTCGGCATTAAGTAAAATATAACATCGTGTATAGGTGGTGTGGCATTAACAAAAACTAACATATCCTGCATCAGTTAGCTTGACATGCTCGACACATTGCCTATCGAAGTTGATGGTTGTAAATACACATACATATGTCTAAGACATATATATCTGCTACCACCATTTGCGTGGTAACTAAATATTATTAAATATTCAGCCTCATTCGCAGTAAACTAGGCCTGGTTTAAAATTTACTTTATGTGTCGCAAAGGGAAATATATTTGCGCAGTCGGAGTTTCACATTATAGTTAAATTCAAATTATGTGATCATTTTTCTTCAATTTTTACGTAAATAAAATAAGATTCTTAATGTTTTAATGCAACAACCTTAGAATAAAGAGGTCGCCAGATTCTCAAAATGCGCCAAACTCTAGCAACAAAACACGCAACAATTCTTCTCTTTTAACAAAGTATCGTCACCATTTCTGTATGCAATTTGTTGCATTCGAAAGGCTGTAATAGAAAAAATCACATTTTTCTTTTCTTAAGCTCGTAAGCGCGCAGTTTTTGTCTTAAAGCAAACACATTTTAACAGTACGCGCTTCTAGAACTTGCCTCCAAAGGACGAAACTGCTTACTATTTCTGCAGAAGTACTATATTATTACGAAATTTTTTAATATATGTAAGTAATATTAGTGATGTTATGTTTAAAACTATAGTCTCTTTTCTAAAATTTAACATGAAAAATTTGCGACATTTTGGTTCAGTCTCTGTATAATTATAATTGGTGTTGTAATTAAATAACAATTCATCCCTTTATGTAACTGTAACCGTATCTGGCCCTCATATGCCTTCCAGTAATTTCGAGAAGTGGAAAGTACTAGAAATAATCAATTACGAACCGCAAATTTGGCGCAGAATCATTTAAAGGGACTAATTCTTCTTAAAGCTACAATATCCTTAATTGTCTTTAACTCTCCTTAATCCATCCTTAAAACGAATGTCACGAAATTTCTACCAAAACAGAGGGGAAAAAACTCGCTCTTAGGTAAGTTTATTGATTGAATTTCGAGATAAATACATAACTAAAATGTAATAATATATTATGTACTCGATAAGAAAATTTTTGTAATTATAAGTCATCATGTAAAAAAAATCAGAGATACACCAAGCGAGGTTGCGCTAATACGTAAGTACCTAAAATAAGATCACTAATACCCGAGTAACCAAAACTGCTGAACTCTGATAGTTCGACCTGGATTCAAATCTCGGCTAATGATTAGCGTCTCTTCTCTCGCTTTAGGCAGAAAATTCTAGCGTGTTTTGGGTTATTTAAATAAATACACAAGCTAGCATACAACATATTTAAGGTTTCAAAGTCATTGGCTGTGAATACTCATGCAGGAATAATATAGCTAATTTTTCAAGCTATGAAGTAATTTTAATTTTTATATGGCCCCCCAAACTTAGATAATAGCTCACGAATATGGTTGTTTGGTTAAGGTTAAAACCAGTAAGGGTTCATTGCCAAGTAAGGAATGCCTTCGTGGAGGACGTTTTAAAGGAAAATAGCTTACATTCTACGTCGTACATGGCAAAGATTCCGAAACGCCTTGTAGCCATCACATTAGCTGCGATTCAAACCAAAGTCGAACTACCAGTGTTCAGCAGTCGCATCCACTCAGCCAGTGGTGGACCCCATGTGTATTTAGGGATTTACGGATTACTCCGTATTTACGGATAAATTTAAACCGAAGCAGAAAAAATATATTTTTTAATAAATTTCTACTATACAGCTACACTTCATACACGATGTTACATTTCACTTCTGAAACAACTAATGAAATATAAAATCCAAAATTAATATTTAAGGTTTAAATAATATATAAAATATTTAAGGGCTAAAAGCGATTAGGATATTTTACGGATTTGTTGAAATAATTTAATAATTTGCTATTTTTATGCTTTGAAAGTTTAATTTTTTTATTGCATTTCTCTTTTAGATTCCAAGATTTAAAATCAAGTTTCTTATGCATGGAGTAGAAATTTTTCGAAATGGTGACATATGGAAATTAATTTTTGATTATTGGAAAATCGTATTTGCAACTCGTGAAGCTTCATGATGTAAGTTGTAAGTATTCCAATATTAGTTTTTAATATTATAATTAACTGCAATAGTTTCGCTTTTGTTTTTCGTTAGACTGTATATATCAAAGTACCGAAAAAGGCGTTTGAAAAAATGAGCAAAAAAATGTATCAGAAGTTCTACTGAAGAAAGCCATTCAGTTGTTTAACCGTTCAAATGAAGAAAACTAGTCAGGTGAACCATACTTCAGGTTGAAAACTAGTCAGGTGAACCATACTTCAACCTTTCAGTTGTAGAAAACCATTTTCACTAGAGAAAATAGAATTTTGAGAATAATATTTTGTATAATATTTTAAAATTTTTATATTTAATATTTTTAAATTAAAATTTTTAATTTATTCGCACTCGTGCTCTATTTATATCTATTTATATCTATTGGTTCATCAGAAACATCAAAGTAATTTGAAAAGTAATAACTGAATTGGCCCAAATAAAAGAGTAGGATTTTTCCTTTAAAATACTCTTTTAAAAAATCCACCTGCGTTTGTATGATTATTTAGCATTTACAAAACGTACTAATTCCTCACTTCTTCAATAAGTTTTAGATTAAAGGACGCATTTACTTTTGTGTCAAACAGGATTCACCAGTGACTCTGTGAATATCCGCTCGGCCGGTGGTAGCCAACGGTATGTGAAAACAATTTATAATGAACTTTTAGAAATGAAATATTTATCGTACAGAAATCGTTATCATGAAAAAAAAAAGCAACACAAGAAATATAATCGAAATTAAAAGAATCAGACAAAACCTCTATTAGTCAAAATTCCGAACCAACAAGAAAAGTTAGTACCAGTTTTTTAGTTTCACGTTTCAGCAATTCAGTTTAGCTTATTGAAGTTCGCGTATTAGAAGTTCTACTGCATACTGACTGGTTCTCATATAACAGATTGGTGCTCATATAATAAGACTACGCAAGATAAAAAGCATATTTTCGAGACCTAGTAGTAGCTTAATTGGTAAACATGTAAATATGATGCTATCAGTAGTACTTGCGTAGTTAAAACTATGGAACACGTATAGAATTTTGAATGTGTTCTGTACAAGAATAAGATACTGTCTAGCTATTTGCATAGGTCTCCAATTTTGTAAAGTAAATGCAACACAGTTTTCCTTAACAAATTCTTACTTTTTACACTATTTCTTAAATTTTACATATATATGTGGTCCCAGTCTATTCTTTAGTGCCGCAGTGAATAAGACAAACACTGCTAGTTCATCTAGGACTTCTTCCTGCGAACGGGCTGGTTGTATGGGCGTTTTCGTGGTTTTGCCCACGTTTAACGCGTATACGAGTCAGTTTCTCTTAGAAAGTCCTCCAAGAAGGCATTCCTCCCCTTACGTAGATAGCTCTTGAATGCTTTGCTGTAATCAAATAAACCAAACCAAACTATACCATCTGGAATTTCAGCGAATGGACTTGCTACATGAAGTTTTCCCATGTCTAATGTTATATGTTTCAGTTTTCCCTTAGAAAGTCGGGCTTTCTAAGCCGATTTTCTAACCTCTGTATAAACATCTGTAGTTCGACCCGAATTCGAATCCTGGCGAATGGGCCGGCTTCATAGGCATTTTCGTGCTTTTTTCCATGTGTAACAAGAATAAGATTAAGTTGGGTGATTAAGATAAAGCAACTCGAGGGCTATCTCCCTATGTCGAGGGACGCCTTTGTGAAGGGCTACAAAACGTATCTACTTAAAAAACGCCCTTGCGATACTGTAGGGTTATTCTGGGACTTTATTGCCTTAACAGTAATTCCCGCAGCAATTACAGATTTCCTTACGGAGCTTAGAATGAATGATACATGAAATGTGCCCCTCATAGGAGGTCTTGGATGGTGGAAAGGAGAGAAGATGCGCTTTGACTCTGTAGCAGATAGAGTTGTCGCGTGTCTGGTGCTACCTATAGCACTGGACACTATGTAGGTAAGTTAAAACCGCATGTCATGTGAGAAATTCTTCTTGTCGTAGTAGACGTTCAGCTTACGGACGAGTGAAAAAATCATCCACTAAGATTTCATAATTTAGAAGTGCAACGAAGTTTGTAGTAGTATTGGCTGCTGCCTTGTTGTAGAATTTCACATTAAGTTTGTTTAGGTATTCCTTTATAGTGTCAATTTTCAAAACATGGTGCAAATTTTCATTTCGTATGAAGCAAGAAGCACCAATGATAATCCACAACTTGGTTTGCAGTATTTGCAAGGTCTTCATTTCATTTCCTTTCGCGTAACTCGTGAGGGGTAAGTAAAGATCGGGCGGATGATAGCCTTATAAAGATGTAACTTACGGTTAAGATTGAGTCATGAGTCAACTGAGAGAAATGGGAAAAGTTAGCGAATGATGCCATATTACTTTTCACGTACGCTGTTAACATTCATAGGTCAATTGAACGATTTGTTGAACTACAAGCGGGGCTTTCTTTCCGAAGAGAACCACTTTACAGTCCAAGTTATCTTGAACTTTGTATTTTCTGATAACTACGATTTGGGATTTTTCTGGATTGATTTTTATTTTCCTCTTCTGGCACCATATTCAATTTCCGGAATCTTGTCTTGGACCTTTTCAAGAGCGTGATTCGACCTTCTCGAACGGGTGCTAATGGCAGTGTCATCGGCATAAAACGCAATCATGATGTTGTGGTAGTCTTTAAATTTTGGGAAGTTATTTGCATATAACTCAAATAGAGGAATGACCCTAGGATGGAACCCTGGGGGACACCATCACAGAGACTGGGTGTGAAAAAGACATACAGTCCCTTTGTCTCACCGAGAAAGCCTATTTTGAAGAAAGGATTCGATGATTTCCAGGCTGAAGAAAGGTCCATTTTTACAAGTTCTTGAATAAGTTTTTTATGCCAGACGTGGTCAAAATTTTGACCACGTTTAGCATAAGGATAGCTGCACTATATTTAGTGTACGTTGCTCTTCCAGTGAATTCTGAAATCCGTACTAATCAGTGAATATTTGCAAGGCATGGCTGGAAACCTTGTTCTTCATCTGCGTTTTGTGCAAAATATCTCTATCTGTCAATCTAATATTCTATCTGTCAGGTATATTGTTTTTGCTAATAGCTATTTTAATTTGTTCCCCTTTCCTATTCCTTATGACTTCCGTTCTTTTGCCAGAATGTAAATTAGTTAGAGTGAACAAGAGAGTATTTAAACTGAAGTAGCAAAAAGGTTAGTCAGAGCGTGGTTCCGCTACTGAGAGTGCACGTTGTTTGTTCTACCAGCTGTTGAACTTTGAATCTCGGCTTCGCGCACTTGCCGCCGAAATTAGTATATCGCTAGTGTAAGTTTCTGTATCAACCTGATAGGTTAAATCGAGTTGTGTACTCTTGTACTACTATTTTTCTTTGAATTTAGTTGTTACATTATCTTGTAAGTTCCTCACCGCAAGTGGTTGGTGACTGTATAAGCAAGAAAGCTCGTGCCGTCTGTAAACTCATTGGGTTCAATAAAAGGATCTTTTATGCCCTTCGCCTGTTGTATTCATATTCGAGTATTTACGAGAAGTCGCAACATAGACTTTTAAGTAGATCTAATTACATTGTATTGTTAGCGAAGGAGACTAGGTCCTATAAGTCTATTACAGATGATGGGTTCGAGGACCTTTCCCAGCGACGGCAGTGGACTAATCTACCGATAACTTGAGAGATCTTCAGGTGATTTTCCATGCTTAGGGATGAGGAAAATGTTTCCATGCTCCCAAGGCTGCAGGAAGAATAATTTTTCGAGACTTGTATTAAAGATAATTACTTACTTGTCAATTTACCGATGACACAATATGGGAGATTTTTCGTAAGTCTACTTGTAATGAGTCTCTTCCAAGAGCCTTTTATGAGCTGTTGTGATTATTTATATCCCAAACTTCAATCGGTGTGGTTAAGTCTATCAGATTTTTCGGGGGAGGAGAGTTTATCCAATTTTGAACTGATTTCTCAATGTACTGATCAAAGTCTAGTTCCTGGAGAATTATCAGGCTCGAATTATTCCGCCAGATGACTTGCGAAGGCTTTATCCTGATTAGAATATGCGAGACTGTGAGGAGTTTTAATTTGACAACAGACTCTGAATTAACGCTTCAAACATCTGACGAAATTCTAAAATAAGCCGTCTTAAGATTATCAATTTTTGTACACCGGCCAACCAGCGGCCGAGCGGTAAAGTCATTGAACAGTGGTATTTCGGTTCGAGGTTCGAATCCTGCGAACGGTCTGGCTGCTTGGGCGTTTTCGTGGTTTTCCCCATGTGTAAAGTGTATGCGAGTAAGTTTCCTTTAGAAAGCCCTCCACGAAGTCATACCTCCCTTTAGGCGGATAGCCCTTGCGGCTTTGCCATAATCACATACACACACGCAATTTTTGTACACCATCTTCCATTTCTGTGCTCACTGATGAGGGATTTGATCTTTCTTGTGAGCTTATAAATGTCAGTTTTAAGCACAGGGTTCCATGTTTTACAGTAATTTTATTTTGTTTTCCGATTAACCCTTTAATGTGCGCATGTAATTGACTATGCGTATATTACTGACTGCCAAAAGTCGTGGCTTGAGATTGGAAGTCCTGGAACTTGAGAGTGAATTTAAGGGTAGCTGTATCAACATCACTTTCAGTTTTAAATTGCCCACAATAAACAGGGAGGTCAAGGCGATACTGTGGAAAAGTTTCCAGTCCACCATCTTCTTGGGAAGGGGAGGTATTTGTGCACAAATCCTCCAATTCTTGCTATGACCGGAACGTGATCGGATAATAAATCAATAATCACCTCAACTAACATGGAAGCGTTGACGGAAGAGAGAAAAATGTCCACAATATCGTGACACCGATTAGGAATGTCAGGGCTGTAAGCTGCCTCCTACGAAACAAACATATAAATAGGATTATTCTCCACGTAGTTATTACGCGACCGTTTCTGTCTGACCGATGTCAACCCCAGTCAACGTGCTTGGCGTTAAGATCGGCGCCAATGATTATTGGACCATGATTTC